GAAAGGTATCTCCCCGATTGGGGTTCTCGTGGTGGTTCGGATTGCCCAAAGTACTTGTGGCATGTCATCCACCCAGGCCCCTTTTGACACATCAAGCTTCCTTTTCAGGACGTGTTTGATTGTTTTGTTGATAGCCTCAACTTGGCCATTTGCTTGTAGGTGGTGAGGCGTGGAGAAATGCTTCTTGATGCCGAGTTCTTCGCATAGTGCTTTGACCTTCTTATTGTCGAATTGTCTACTATTGTTTAAGATGATTGAGTAGGGAATCCTGAACCGGCATATAATATTCTTCCATAAAAACTTGAAAGTGTTTGCTTCTGTGATTTTTGCCAATGGTTCAGCCTCAACCCATTTTGTAATCGATGGCCACAATTGTAAAGCTCGCACCTCCTCTACCTTTAGGTAAGGGGCCTATGAGGTCCACACCCATTTCGAGAAAGGCCAAGGGCTGGAGACCGTAGTCAAATCCTGCGACGGTTGTCTTTGTACCGAAGAGAATCGTTGGCATTTATCACATTTTCGTACAAATTCGAGGGCGTCCCTTTAAAGGTAGACTAGTAGTATCCTTGCCTCTATTTTTTGTGTCAAAGATAGACCTCCGGAGTGATTGCCACACACGCCCTCATAGACTTCTCTTAATATGTAAGTAGCCTCTTCTCCTCCCACGCATCGTAAGAGTGGGGAGGAGAAGCTCCTCTTATAGAGAACATTATCAACGAAGAGGAAGTGGGCTGACCTCCTCCTAAGCTTGTAGGCCTCATGCTTGTTAGTTGGAAGTACCTGATCTTTGAGGTATGTTACGATTGGCTACATCCAGGTAGGGGTCCCAGCGACCCACATTACATTGGGGGCCTCGGTCGATGGTAGGAGGAAGTGCTCTATAATTACTACTGTGAGTAGTTCTGAATCCTTGCTACTAGCGAGCTTGGAGAGTGCATCCGCATGAGAATTTTCGATGTGAGGGATCTGGGTTAGTTCAAAATTTTCAAAGGATGGGATGAGCTTTATCACCATTTTCAAGTAGGAGGCCATCGTTTTGTCCTTGGTTGAGAAGTTACCATTTACGTGGCTAACAACCAGCTGGGAGTCACTGCTGATGAGGAGCCTCTTTACTTGCATTTCCTTGGCCAACCTGAGGCATGCAAGTAGTGCCTCGTATTCTGCTACATTGTTGGTGGCCTTGAACCCGAACCTCACTGCTGAGTTTAGCTTGTGACATTCAGGGCTGACGAGGACAACTCCAGCACCTGAGCCGGCATCCCCAACCGACCCATCAATGAATAAGTTCCACGTAGGGGGCTCGACGGGTTCCATGATTTCATCTACCTCGGATAAGTTGGCAAATTCTGCCACAAAGTCAGCCAAGGCCTGACCCTTGATGGCTGTCCTAGCCTTGAACACGAGGTCAAATTCGCTTAGCTCTACTGCCTACTCTAATAATCTTCTTAAGGCATCGGGTTTTTGGAGTACCTGCCTTAGGGAAAAGTTTGTCAGCACATGGATGGTGTGAGCTTGGAAGTAGGGTCTTAATTTCCTGGAGGCCGTGATCAAGGCCAAGACGAGCTTCTCCATATCAGGGTAATGGGTTTCCGGCGATAGGAATACTTTGCTTGTATAGTAAACGGGGAGTTTGGTGGTCCCCTCTTCTCGAGTTAGGACCGAACTGATGGCCTCACTGGAGATGGCCAGATATAGCTGGAGGATCTCACCGGGCTTCGGTTTGGAGAGGAGGGGAGTCTGCCCCAGGTTCTTTTTCGGGCCTTGGAAAGTCTCTTCACATTCCTCGTTCCATTAAAACTTCTTCTCAACTTTCAGCACTTTGAAACATGGGAGGCATTTGTCTGTAGCTTTGGCGACGAAGCGGCTAAGTGCGGCCACCCATCCAGTCAAACTTTGCACCTCCTTTGGCTTTTAGGGGACCTCATCTTGTTTAGGGCCTCAATCTTCTCAGGGTTAGCTTCAATTCCACGTTGATTGACCATGTATCCTAAGAATTTGCTGGAGGCCACTCTAAAGGCGCACTTGAGGGGCTGAGCCTCGTCCTATACCTTCTCAGGATTTGGAAGGTGCTGTAGAGGTGCGTTATGTGGTCTTCAGCCTCCAGACTTTTTACCAACATGTCATCCACGTATACCTCCATTGTCTTACCGATGAGGTCCATAAACATTTTGTTGACGAGCCTCTGATAAGTCGCTCCGGCATTTTTCAACCCGAAGGGTATCATCCTATAACAATAAAGGCCTCGGGCTGTGATGAAAGAGGTGTGCTCCTCGTCAGCCAGGTGCGTGGGTATTTGGTTGTAGTCGATTATGTGTCCATAAAGCTCAACAATTCGTGCCCAACCGTGGAGTCTATTAGTTGGTCAATCCTTGGGAGAGGAAAGCTGTCATTCGGGCAAGCTCTGTTGAGGTTGGTGAAATCGATGCGCACCCTCCACTTGCCGTTGTGTTTCTTTACTAAAATCGGGTTGGAGACCACCTCGGATAGGTAGCCTCCCTGATAAAGTCATTTTGGATGAGCTTTTGAACCTCTCCCTTCAGAGCCTCGTACCTCTCAGGATTGAGGGCTCTCCTTTTTTGTCCGGGCGGGACAACCTTAGGATCGACTTTCAAGTGGTGGCAACTGACCTTAGGATCTATGCCTACTATGTCCTCATGCCTCCAAGCAAAGACATCAAGGTTCCTACTTAGGAAATCCTTAATCTTTTCCTTTAAAATGTTGGGTAAGCCCTTGCCTACTTTCAGCACCTTGGATGGGCCTCGGGGATCTACCGAGAAGCTCTCAAGTTCCTCAACTGGGGATGCTTGAGGTTCATGTTCAATTATGCGGGGATCGATCTCATCAATGACCAATACCTCCGGATTGGGTGGTGCATCAATCATTTCGATATCTTCTGGTTCAGTAGGGGCATCACCTGGGACATCAGCCATGACTATATCGGCTATTATTACATGGACGTCCTTGGGCTCTACCTTTTTTATGGAGCTTAGATAACACTCTCTCGATCCTCTTTGGTCGCCTCTCACCATTGCCACCCCATTTTCCATTGGAAATTTTATACATACGTGGTGGATGGAGGTGACTGCTCCCAATTCTTTTAGGGCTGGCCTACCTAATAATACTCCGTGGTAGGCCAATCTACTGTTGACAATGAGGAACTCCATGAAGTTCATCGTAGTTTGGGGAGATTCTCCCATATCCACTGCAAGTGTTATCTTTCTCCTTGGAGTGATGCTGTCTCCGGTGAATCTGTACAAAGGAGTTGTGGTGGGTGTCAACTGATGATTCAATATCATCTTGTCAAAAGCGGATCTGAATAGAATGTTGACAGAGCTACCGTTGTCAACTAACATTCGCTTGAGCCCATTTCGGGCTATGATGGCTCTCACAACAAGTGCATCGCAGTGGAGGTAGTGAACTCCTTTGGCGTCCTCTTGGGTGAAGACAATGGGTGTAACTTAGTTCTTTCGGGAGCTACCATCCATAATGTAGCTTCCCAAAGGGGGGTGTTTAGCCTCCCAGACGTAATTACTTTTGGCGTTTCGTGTTTCACCGCCAACATATGGTCCTCCAAATATGGTATCTACCTCGTGGATATGAGCCTCATCCTAGGCTTATCGGTTTCTTCGGTGCCTGCGCCCTTTCCTGGGCCTCTCTGTATCATGCTCCCTTTGTCGTGAGAAAACATCTCTTTGACGGGGAGCGACCTCTTTACGCCCACGTCGGTTGTCCTGCCTAGGCTGGGCCTGCTCACCTGGGGCGATTCATTTTTGTTCCTAGGGAGTTCCAGTCGGAAGCGGTGCGCATAGTCTCGATAATCCACTATGTTGTGTCCGTAGGACCGGTGGTGTACACAGTATCCCGGTGGGTTCTGATTTGACCTATTTCTAGGTCTAGAGCCTCGGCCTCGACCTCTCCCCCTACGGGATCCTTGTGGGGTTTCCATCTGTCGGGTATCAGTAATTGGGTTGATATCCTCATATGCCAAGATAGGAACCGTGTTCAAAGTGGTGGTGGTAAGTGCTTGGCCAGAACTCTCATTTCCAGCCTGGTTCATTTGGTAGTCCATCAGGTGGGAGGTCGGCCCTCTAGCGCGCTGCCTTTGAGGAGGTGGGAGGCCTCTACTTGCCCTGTTCCTATGCTCAATCAATTCTTCATTGATGATTTCTCGCCTCATCATCTCGAGAAGGGTATCATAGTTGGTGGGATCTTGATGTTGCACGTCCCTCCATAATAGGGTATTCATGTTCAAACCTCCTCTTAATGCGGATAGTGCCTCACGGTCGGTGACTTGTACACAATACGTCATCGGTGAAGTGTGATAGGAAGCTCTTTAGGGAATATCTTGGAGATGTTAGATGGGAGCCTCTCCTTCTTTGCTTACCGCGAACTATTTCAAGAATGTTGTCTTGAACTCGGGCCAACTTCTTATACTTCCAGGTGGTAACCTGCTATACCAAATTTCAGCAGCTCCACTAAGTGTCAAATGGAAAGCTCTACACTTTACAGATGGGGTGGCACCTCTTAGGCTCATGTAAGTTTTATAAGCATGTAGGTGCTTCTTTGGGTCGCCTCTTCCGTCATACTTTGGTATCTTTGGCATTACATAGTGGTTTGGTACCTAGACACTCCTCAGTTCCCTTGAGAATGGCAAATTCTCATCGTCGTCTAAGTCACAGGGCCTTTGTTGTTCATCTGAATCATATTCCTCGGCCTCTTATCGTGGTTGTTGGTGAGAGGTTCCGAGACGGTTCCTAGCCTCTTCCTCCCTCCTTTGACGCCTATTTCTAGGCAGAGCAACACGGGAGACATTTTCATGCCTTTCTTCCAGCTGCTGGTGCATCGAAGGTGGAGGCGGTGGCCTTGTCCAAGGTTGGTGTGTCTGCTGTTACCTAAGCCTCGGTTCAGTGGGACTAATTCTGTCAAATACACTGTCTGCCCTCCTATATCTTGACTCTTGCTCATATGGAGGTGAGAAGTTATCATGGTTCAATGGGACCTCAGTGGGTCAGCTAGAAGCATAGTTGGAGGAAACATCAACTTCCACTTCCCTTTCAAATGGGCTTCTACCTCGGCTATAGTCCGGCGAGGCAGTTCTATGACTTTGAATTTCGTCTTCTTGTTGGTAGTGCCCCTGAGGGCGTATGGAGGAATGGGGAAGCCTCCCTGGCCCTGCATTTGGGCCATGAGCTCCCTCATAGCCAAGTTTTGACTAACAATATCTCTCATGTTGGCCGCCATGGTAGCCATTTCTCTTGACAGTCGTGCCGTTGCCCACCTTCCACCTCTTCTTTGGTGGTGGTGGAGTCTTTGCCGAGCTGTTGGGGTAGCGGGTGGAGGAGGCACATTCGCGTTTTTTCTTACCCTCCTAGGGGGTGTGTCTTTGTTTGAACTCATTTTCTTTTCGTCTGACTCTTCAGATTTTGCTAACTTGTCGGGCTTCCTCTTTTTCTTTTTCAAGAACAAATCCTTTTTCAAGGGGGATGCCCAAATGCTCTTCAATAAGCTTTCACTACAAGGTTGTTCGTGGTTATGGTATGGTTTCCTACAGACGGTGTCAATCTGTTGACCCCAAAAAGTGTTGCCAACAGATGTCGGACCCACCCGCACACACGTGAGCGAAGGTCCTACACGCTAAGACATGTGAACGGTCTAAAACGAACGAGTCAGGGGCGTGGGAGTAGCTCAACGACGTGGAACGAGAACGTTCGAAATCCGACGGGATGTTCTTAATTCGATTGTCCAATAATTACCAATCGATATTTGTAAATGTTTATCTAAATATGTATGAACTCGTTTGTGTTGCAAGATAATAAGAAAGAGAGAGTTGAGTAAAGTGTAGTTTCTTGTATTGATTCTTGCATTAGTCCTTCAATGTTATACAAGGGAAGTATTTATAGTGTTACATGTTAAATGACAGCCCTTAGATGAGGTGGCACGTGGCCTCATCTTATTAATTCAAACATCTAATCCTAGGCATCATCCTTGACTTGCTAGCTTGCTGCGTATTTATTACTTGTGCAAAACCCCCATGCTAGTGATAAGACTTGATATGTACACTTATGACAAACGTTCCATCAATCGTTCAAACAAAATCTTTATATAGAAGATCTCTTAGGAGAAGTGATCACGGAAGACGTTCCTTCATGTTTCGGAGGCTTCTGCTTCGCCTTTGGATTCAGAGTTTCTGCCACTCACGTAATACTCCCGCTTTAGGGCTTCGGCTATCTTTTGGGTGATCTCGCATCATGGCTTCGGTTCATGGGCCTCGGCATACGGACTTTCGCTATTTTAACCGGCCTCGGGATATGGGCCTCGGCACGAAGGGCCTCGACCATACATGCCACCTCAGCTGGAGTGCTACGTGGATCGGATTGAGTGGGCCATAGACCCCCGTAGGTTGGCCAAGTATGACAACACATAACACCGCCCATTAATTTTTTCATAAAATGGGGGTCAGATGGGGTCTAACAGAGAAATTGGACCAAAACTGTCATTGAACTGGAAGTCTGCCAATTGTGAAACGTTGTGAACAAGATTGGAGCGAAATAAAGTTTGGAACAAAATTGCTACTTTGATCAAAGTTGGAAGATGGAATGTGCAATTTACGATTTATTTAAATCAAACAAATTCTACAAGTTGTTATCTAATGTACTTAACTAATCTTGAGGGTGTTCAGTGGGGATTGAAATTAGATTTTCTTGGTACATCAACACGAATCTCTGAATTTATAGTTACATAACAAATGAATCTTTTGCACTTTTTCAATTGCCGTAATGGCAAAAACTCCATCACACCATTCAACCCAACCCCCAAAACACATTGTAAAAGCACAATGCAACATTTGAATGTCCATATATAAATGCAAATATTGAAATCATCTTAATGGAATTTAAAAGTAGTTTTTTCAGTGATATTTTTAGCCTTCAAACACAAA